ACCAGAGTGGCTAGTTGACCAAGTTGTACTTCAAGACTATTAATGGAGGCTTGCTGATTCTTTATTAAAGTTTGTTGTTCTACCATCAATGCATGATGATTTTTTACCAAAGTTCTTTGTTCATTAATGGCAGAATCAGTAGCCTCGTGTCTCTTTTCTGAGGCTTCCATAAACTTCATCAACATGGTCTCTAAATCGGGTTTCTTCTCGATCGGTGGTTGTTCTTTTTGGTAGAAGCCTCTACCAGTTTGTCTATATTTCTCTTCCTTTTGCTTCTTATATTCATCATAGGGCAGCCACTCTTTCTTTGGTTTCCTCCAATCTTCATCATACTTGTCCCCACTTGAGTAGCACACTTGAGCCTTTCTGTTCCCAAACTCATCTAAATTGCAGTCCTTGGTCAAGTGTGGACCACTACACCTCTCGCAACCAACTCTAATTGCATGAATTTAGTTGTCCATTTGTGTCAACCTCCGGTCCATATTATTTAGCATAGCCATCATGGTTGCTATTTCTTCAGTTTGGGCCCCTCCACCGCCTTTGATTCCATCTTGCCTAGGGTTGTGGTATTCGCAAGAGTGTTTCGCGAATTCTTCAATTAATTCCTTGACTTCGCCCGTATTTTTCTTTGTAAGTGGTCCTTGAGAATCAAGGAGTTGTCTTGTCATCACGTTTACCCAATCATAAAATATTGACACCTCCTGTTGAATGTTAAGGTCATGTTGAGGACAATTTCTTAACAACCCTTTGTAACGGTCCCAAGCTTCGTAAAGTGACTCTCCCGGGTTTTTCTAAAAATTGGCTATTGCCTTTTTGAGTTTAGCAATCTTGGATGGTGGACATAATTGATCTAGACACTGCTCACGCATTTGAGCCCAAGTAATTACGGTACCGGGTGAAAGTGCTTTTAACCAATCCTTTGCAGCTCCTTTAAAGGTAACGGGGAGCATCCTTAGCAAAATGGTGTCTCTGTTAATATTTGGGACATTGAAGTAATCGGCAATGTCATTTACTTCATCTAAGTGTTTGAATGCATCCTCGTGATCCTTTCCATAGAATGGGATATCCTTTAGTGAGGAAAGGATATGTCCCTTTAGCTCGAATGTGGCAGTGGCATGGATGGCAGGTTGTACTAAGCCTGGACCAACATCATCTCAAATTCTCTTTCTGTAAGCTCCCATGGACATTTCCTCAATATTTTCCATCTCGTGCCTTGGCTCGTTTTCAAGTTCGCTCGTATGTTCTTTGAATTTGGGCTCGGTATCGTACTTGGATTCGGTTTGAACGGGTATTTGATCCAAGTGTTCAAGCTTGCTTTTATTCTTCGAGGGTGAACTTGACTCCCCAGTCTTCTTCCTTGATTTCTTTGAAAACACTGATTTGAATTCTTGTAAGGGCGTCTTTTTCTTGTGAATTGCGGACTCGGGATCTTCAAGTGGTGGCACCAAGGGTGTGTTTGAGCCTATGGTCATGAACTCCTGTAGATAAACTAAATAAAAAAAATGTAAAACTAAACTAAAATAGAAAAATAAGCTAAAAACTAAAAAAAATCTAAAATTCTAGGTTTCCATGTCGTGGCACTTATCTGGCCACGTCATAGACTCTGTGACAAAAAAAAAAAATTAAACTTTGCTGAAAAATTAACTTTTTATGGGTTTTACCCCACAAGAAGGATCGATTAATTTAATGCAAATAAATAATCTAATAAACTGCGCCGTTCCCTGGCAATGGCGCCAAAAACTTCATGTGCACGAAAGTACCCACTAATTTTAATATTTATAACCTAACAAACTTAAACTAACTATGCACTTATAGGCAGTGTACCTAGTCAGATTATAGTATAGCTTGGGTAAGTCGGGTGTCGATCACAGGGAACGGGGTTACTAATTAATCTACTTGCTATCAAATTAACCTAATTATTAACAAGTTTAGAAAGGGTTTTATCTGATTTTACAAGATCAGACGAACTTATCTCAAATTCAATCAATTAAGTAAAAACACTCTTGTCTAGTTCGAATCCACTTCGTCCTTATGGCTAGCTAATAATTATGGATTATCAAGTTGGTTGTAATTGTATTACTAATTTAAGTCTAACTTTACCAATAATTAATTAATTCATGTCAAACTATGCATGGTCACACACAATTAAACATAGAGCTAATTATGAATATGAATATGTTATGTAAGATTTATTATGCAAACGCAATTATAGTCACAATCCATGTTCTCTAACACATCTAAGTTTATTTAATCTAATTACTAACTAAGATTGGTCAATCCTAGCCTTAACAATTTAATGTTCACTAAATCATTAGGTAAACAAGTTCATGTAGTTAATGGTCACTAAGCTACACAGAACATGAAATCAAGCAACTAGAGAAACAAACACAAGCATGCTAGGTAATTATAAATCCAACACAAGCAATTCACCAAATAAATAAATCCATAAAAATTAAGCTATTCATAAGTTGGAAGCTTCATCTAGCTAAACAAGAGTAGTTAGATTCAACTGCTCATAATAGCAACAAACACACTAACACAAATCAAAGTATAATGAAACATGTTCCTAAGTAACAAATAAGTAAACTAAATTATGGACCTTCACTCTTTTGGTGTTGAAACCTTTTTCCAGAACCTTTCTTCTGCTCAAAATCGCCTTCTGGAATCCCTTTTCTCTAGCCAAAAAGTCTCTCCCATTTGTAATGACCAATAGTGCTTAAAAATCCTTAAAAATCTCGTGCCACGTCGTGGCTATCTCCGCCATGTCGTGATCCCCAAGTTATCCGTATCGGGCAAGGACTCTTTCTTCACACGATCTTTTTCTTCTAGAATACTCATGCCACATCATGGTTATCCATGCCACGACGTGGTTTTAGTAATCTCTGTGGATTTGTTCATCTCTTGTGTTCCAAGTCTCCCATGTTCTATAAATTGTTGCTTTTGGTCCCTCTCTTCGAAAATACTTCTAATTGACTGAAAATAACAATTTAAAGTTATAAGTATCATTATTCTAAACATATTATCAACTTATTAATAAAAATGTAATTAAATATTGCCTAAAAATAGGTATAAATATGGCAATATCAACCGCCTCAATCAATCCCTACCTATGTTGAATCATAAAAAGGTTTAGAGTGACATACCATATATTGAAATACATTAATAAATAGTGTCATACCTTATGTTGATCATATATTAGCACAAGCCTAAACCCTTTACAGTTAAGGTTCAAGTCTTCTTTAGGATTATCAATAAACCACTTCCAATTGTCATTGTTCTCCACACATACAACAACCCATTCAATCAGGAAGATATCATTGTTAGCATCCTAACCCACATTAGAAAGTAGCTCACCATGGCAATAACTCTCCAGAAAACAACCATCAAGGTTAATTGTCCTTCTATAGCCTCCCCTCCAACCCTCTTTAACTCCATGAAAACATATGTAAATCGTACTGAAGTAATTTTTACCATTTGGCATTGAATCAACAAAATTTTTGACAGTTGAACCCGAATTTGATCTTTTTATCTCATCACCATAAGACCCTAACGTGGCATACTTGTCTGCAATTGTACCTTTAAGTATTATAAATGCATATTTCTTGGGTCTCCTACACTGACTTATACTCACTTCAATGTCGAATGTGTTTTTCACCTCCACTCTAAGTAGCCTAATACTCATCTTCTGATTGTTAACAAATTCATAGGTGAAATGCCTTCATATCCATCTGTAAGTGACAATTGAGCTAAATTTAAAATTCCTAGCACAATTATGGCCAATTATCAGGGACTTGATATGGAAAGACTTATCATCGCTCATTCATGACCCCTAAAGCCTAAAAGTACAGTTTCCATCAAAACATTTAACCAAAAGCCTTCTACTATCATTTTTCTTAAAGCATAATTGATAACCATCTATCATTTTTCTTAAAGCATAATTGATAACCATTAGCAACTACATAATTGCACAACATGTGTTTGAGTTGTTTGGAATTCTCAAACCTCATACCTAACATAAGTTGTTGCTCCTTCCAAGGCTACTCTTCATTGAACCTATTTGGCAAATCAGTAGCAACATCAGCCTCATCGTCTTCATTCTCCCCCATGTCAATATCAACAGGTTCACTTTCACTTACATTCTCACCCATGTCACAATATGGGCTATTGTTATCAGTATGCCATGTGTCATATGTTTCACCATTATCAACAATTTCTGCCTGAATATGATCAAGCACTTTCTTTTTTCATCCAACCACTCTTGCATATTAGCAGTACCAAAATGGTCTACATACAGTCGTAGTTCAACACCACATTCATACGCAATGACTATAAAATCTATATAATCAAGTTAGTTTGTAATTAACCTCAAACCTTTTGGAAAATCGATATCAGGAAGACAGTAATACAGTTTCTCACATTTCTCTCATGTGAATCTTTCCATGAAAGCGTAACACTCCTTCTTGTCCATGGCGGCCAAATGAATGTCACCTAGTCTCTGATTGGTACCAACGGCGTATCGTACTGGGTACCTTTCAAAGATGCCTTGAAATTACACACAGACAATGATGTAGATAGCCATGGTTTAAGCAAGAAATTAGAGGATTAGAAATCGAAACAATTGACAGAGATAGTTGATGGAGTGTTTTCGAGTTGATAAATTATTGTCGGTAGCTCATTAAAAATCCTAAAGCGACACAATCAACATTTAAACGTGACAATTTTAAATGATGTGGCACATATGTTACCGATTGACCTCTTCAACTCTTATAAAATGACCAAATCGACCCGACAAAAACATTTTGTTCGCTTAGAGGGCACGAAAAAAACTTTAGGAACTGAACGCACAAAAAAATAAAAAAAAAATAAAAGGGTCCTTCATTTACCCTATTTTTTATGATGGTGTTGAAATAATAATTTTTTTTTTAAATTTCTAATAGGTATAACATGTAGAATAATAGCAAACATGAATTTGATTATTTAGCTCTAAAACCCTGCTTTGGCTTGGAATAGTCTAGCTACTTCCTAGTTTTAATTCCAACCTTTAAAATAAAAAGAGAGTTGAGGTTTTCATTTTGCTACCTAGAAATAATTCCCTCCATCTTTGCTAATCCTGCTAAAACCCTATGATGTTAGAAGTTCAAAATCCATACAGATGTGTTCACCAAATTAAAGTGAAGGGCGAGGCAAAAGGCTATGATCAGTGATCAGATGCCCTTCGCGCTCGAAATTAGCGTATGCTCGTACGTAATCTATTTTATCTAATCTTCCCTTCAACACGAAACTTTTGTCTCTTCCCTGTGATGTCGATGGATGAAAGAAACGTGGACAAACATCTTTGGTAATTCAATAATTTATTGATTTTCACAACTTTTGCCAGTTGGTGTACGCCATAAATATATATAGCGCCCTTCACCGAAAATAGCGATGAACAAATGCTCTTCATTTATTACCATTCTTCATAATAACTTCAACAAGAAAATCGTCTTCTTCAACTACTTCCTTACCCACTACAATCCTCCTTTCATTTCTAGCTTCCATCAGTCTCGTCGATTTTCTGGTAAGTTGATCGATGCTTTTCCAACTTGATTTTACACTAATCGCTTGTACTGTCTTTCCCTTTTCCCCCTTCCCGTTTTTTATATGATTCTGTGGTTCTTGTACGTGTAATCACTTCAAGTTTTAGGTTTTTTTGGAATCGGTAAATGTTACGTCTGTAATTGTACTCCAACTGTTCGTCAAAATGCTTGGTTCTATGGAATTCAATTAAGCGTCTTTTGAAATTGTATATGCATTCCGATAGTTGCGACTACTGAATTGAATGTCATTAGGGATCATTCTAATTGTTCAATTTTGACAACGAATTGATATGTGATTATGTGAATGATCGTTTTTGCCGTGCTTGTTTGAATGATCGCATTAATGGAGTCTTATAGATACAATCCGAGCTTGAGTATAATGTAAAATCATCATGATGATGACATTTTTTTGTTAATCTTGGTGAAATTACATAGCTTCAGGTTGCAGAACATCCATGGAGGTTGTGAAAGAGATTGCTAATCATGGAAGTATTGCTCTGAAAGCCGATGACAAGAGTTATGCCTACCACCATTTAGTTTCTTCTGCTTCAAAAATATCCCTTTTGTTATCCAATCATGACCAAAAACTCGTGAGTACAAAATAATAAACTACTATTGCAATTTGCAGTATATAATATCTCATTAGACATGAAAATGACCAAAATCTTTTATCTTGAAATCACTTTTGCAGGATAATAATAAGAGTCTAAATGGTGCTAGAATAGGTGTTGTAGCTAAACCTTGTGCTGAGTTTGTTGCTGGAGTACTTGCAATATGGTTAAATGGAGGTGTAGCTGTTCCACTTGCACTCAGCTACCCTGAAGCTGAGTTATTACATGTCATGACTGACTCGGTTTGCTCTCAAAACAACCTTAAACTTTTCTACTTTCCTATGTTTTAAATGCAAGAAATTGCTTTGTATTTGGATGATATTGCTAAAATTGCTTCAATAAGAAGAAATGAAATTCAATAAAAGGACATTGACATTTCTTGCATTCAACCCTTTTCTTTGTGATGACTCTTTTCTATGTGGTTTCTCTTGCCTTTGTAAGATACAATTTTAGTCTCCTAATAATATGCTTGTGTTTATTTGACTTTTATTTGACTTTTAAAGGATGTGTCCATGATTTTGAGTACTGAAGATCACAGTGAACTTATGCAAAAAGTTGCAGCTAAAACTGCTGCTCGATTTTCTTTAATTCCAAATGTTCCTACCATGACTTCACAAACAGTTGATAATCAAAAAGAGATTGTATTTGCAAATAACATAAAAGGTATATATATGTATATTCATCTTCTTTAATATGTATATAATTTTATATACAATAATAATATAAAATTGTCTTATTCATACAGACGATGATCCAGCATTGATTTTGTATACTAGTGGAACAACTGGGAAACCTAAAGGAGTTGTTCATACACACAGTAGCATTTTAGCACAGGTAATTTAATGTTTTGAAAGAAAATACTTTAAAAACCAAACTTGTGAAAGATTCGTATATTTTTGAAAAAAAAAAACATGTCTATGAAATATGATCTTCTAATTGCTGTTTTCCTGCATAATTTCAGGTGAAAACATTATCAACAGCTTGGGAATACACATCAAGTGATCGTTTTCTACATTGTCTTCCATTACACCATATCCTTAAATAAACATTAAAATATTACTTTCAATTCCTTTTTTTTTTTTCAAAAATGATTTCACATTTCTTGTTGATTCTTAATTTAATCTGTACATGTTCATGGGCTCTTCAATGCACTATTTGCTCCTCTTTATGCGGGGTCCATGGTAATCACTAATCAAACACTTTTATGAAATTTGCAATTAAGTAAAAAATAAATTATTTATCATCACCAATTATAAGTTTATATATATATTTTTTATGTTTTTTTAGGTTGAATTTATGCCAAAGTTTAGTGTTAGTGGTATTTGGAAAAGATGGCGTGAATCTTACCCAAAAGATGGGACTAAGCTTGATGATGCAATTACTGTATTTACAGGGGTATGCCATTTCTTTTTTAATATTTAAAACAATGTTTAAAAAAATGTTTTTTTTTTCTTCCTCTTTTATCTTTCTCATCTATGTTGCATATACAAAATATATTCCGGGTATGCAAGTTATAATTAAGAAAACCAAAAATAAATGTTTTACTATTTATGTCCTTGTCCTTGTAATATCTGATTTTTTTTTTTTTTAATATTTTTATTTTAGGTTCCAACCATGTACACGAGGCTGATACAAGGCTATGATGCAATGGATCCAGATTTACAAGCTGCTTCTGCAACAGCTGGAAGCAATCTGCGTCTAATGGTGATTATAATTTTTCAGAAACATAAAGATATAATAATATAATCTGTTTTTTTAATTAATTGGATTTTGATATTAAAAACTATAAATTAATTAATTTCCAGATGTGTGGCTCCTCAGCTCTACCCCTACCTGTAATGCAAAGGTGGGAGACCATCACAGGACATCTGTTATTAGAAAGATATGGCATGACAGAGGTATTGTTATTATTATTAATATTATTTATTTATTTATTACAAGTCACCTTAAAAATAGATTCTGTTTTTGGATAATTACAAAAATGACCACCGTATGACGTGGCATGTAACAAATTGACCACTTTTTTTTTTTTTTTTAACGAATAGCAAAAGTGATGCTACAAATTGAGATATTGCTTTATAAATGGTCCCACCAATTTCACAATTTTTCGGAAATTCACAAAATAAAAATTTTTATAAGCCTTTTTACATCTTTTATTAGCTCTAAAAAGCGACTTCGATTGCGACATTGTTAAACGAATTGCAAAATATGAACAGTTTCGCAATTTTTTTACCTTTTTTTTTCAGCTTTTTGTTAGTAAAAAGTAATTTTGCATTTCTTAGGAATTTCGCAACTGGCCAATTGCAAAATTGGTGGTCGTTTTATTTTATTGGTAAAAAAGGTAGTAAATTTGTTAAGGGTAATTTCTGTAATTATCCTTTTTTTGTTCCAATAATTCTGCGTTGTTGCCCTTTTAGTTTGTGATGGCACTTTCAAATCCGTTAAAAGGAATGCGAAAAGGAGGCACTGTAGGCAAACCCTTTCCAGGAGTCGAGGTTAGCGAAATTAACAAAAATCTAGAACGATATGTTATTCGTTATACAAATTAAATTAATTAAAAAAAAAATACAAATTCATAATACGGGATTATAATTGTTGTAATAAATAGGTCAAGATACTTACAGAAGATAATGTTAATGATGGGGTTGGTGAGCTTTGTGTGAAAAGCCCTTCGTTGTTTAAGGAATACTGGAAACGTCCGGAAGTAACAAAGGAATCATTTATAGAAGGTGGCTTTTTTAAAACTGGTGATGCTGTTAGAGTTGATGAAGATGGATATTATGTCATTTTGGGACGTAAGATTTTTTTTTCTTTTTTTTTTTTTTTTAAATGTTTTCCTTTTTCATTTCCATTGTATTTTTGCTTTATTTTGAGTTTGTGACACTTTTTATATCCTCAAATTAGGTACTAATGCTGATATAATGAAGGTTGGTGGATACAAATTGTCAGCATTAGAAATTGAGGCAATTCTTTTAGAAGTAAGTTTTTTCCAAGTGCTGTTTTTTTTCTTTTTTACTTAATGGAGTTATGGGGACATGAGTTCGGGGTCTGTTTCTTTTCTAGACTCGATAAACTTTCTAATGAGACTAAATGATTATTTTACCCTTATATTTGAAAAAAAAAAAACAAATTTGTATATATATTAAAAGGAATTGACCTTAGGAATAGTAATCTTTGGTTTCAGACTTTGGACACAATACTTTCGTATGTTGGCAGGTTTGGTTCCCCTGCAGAAAATAAATTACAAAAACTGTCCCTATAATTTACAGAAAGTCCCTGGCTCCCTTTGCAGCTTTTTTTTTAAAAAAATAATACAGAAATGATCCATTTGTTTAAAAAAATTACAGTATGCTCTTTGGGTTTGAAACTTTGGCCACAAGACTTTCGTATGTTGGCAGGTTTGGTCCCTGTGTAGAAAATAAATTACAAAACTGTCCTTTATAATTTACAGAAAAAGTCCCTGTGCAGTTCTTTTTAACGAAATGGTCCATGTGTTTATAAAAATTACAGTAGTCTTTTGGGTTTGAGATTTTGGCCACTAGAATTTCATATGTTGGCAGGTTTGGTCCCTGTGTAGCAAATATATCACAAAAAATGTCCATGTAATTTACAAAAAAGATCCTTATGCAGTTTTATACACACACGTGCGCGAAGTGGGGGTATAGAAAGTCATGGAAAAAAACAAAACTTAATACAGAAAATCATGGAAATGAGACGTTTCCCATTAAGCACTATTTTTATTTTACGAATTTGCCCCTTATTTAAATTTAATTTGACTTGATTGTACAGCATCCAGCTATTTCAGAATGTTGCGTGTTGGGGTTACCAGATAATACTTATGGAGAAGCAGTGACTGCAATAATTGTGCCAGATATGGAGATAAAGAAAGCCCGTGAAAAAGACTTAAAACCTGCAATAACTTTGGATGAACTCTCTTCATGGGCTAAACAGAAGCTTGCTCCATACAAGGTATCCCTATTCCCTCCATAATCATTGCTCAGAAATTCGTAAAAGTTGCTAAATGCAAGAAATAGCAATGTACTTTCATTTATTTGAGGTTTAATCCTTAAAAAACCCAATATACAGGGCCTTTTATGTAATTAATCCATGTTTTCTAGTTTGTATACACAAAATTTTCAAATAAAAATATCTAGTAAATGAACACAGGCCTTTTAATTGGACTAGATGTTAATCATAACACTGTACACTTTCTATTTCTTTTCCAAGTAGGAAATTACACTTTGAAAAATCTACAAAGTTATAGTAGTGACAATTGTTATGCATTTTAACGACATTTCTCTAATTTGGTAGAGTTTTACTGATGTTGTTTTCCCATTTATCTTCAGCTACCAACCCGGTTATTCTTATGGGAATCACTGCCTCGTAATGCCATGGGGAAGGTAAAAATGCTAAGACCATATTTTTTGCTTGCATTTATAGTAGGATTTAAATCCTAAAACTTATAATTTAATTAATCATTGTGTGTAATTTTTTTAGGTGAACAAAAAGGAATTGAAGAAGACACTCGCTGCTGAAGAACAATAAACCAGTTTCACCATATGCAAAATATGCAATGTAATGTTTGTAGTCTTATGTTGTTGCTTGCTAATTTGGTGATTTTGTTCGTGGTAGAATATTTATCTTCTATATAGATAACTTTATTGCTAGTTGTAACAAGTCTTTTAGGAGTAATGTGGTTTTTATATTGGAAATGGCATTAGTATTTTGGTTTATGAAAAAGAGGTTGTATTCTTGTAGAGAACTTTTGAGGATAAATTAGGTAGAGATTATTGAGTGTTTTGCTTGGTTGCATTGTTTATGGACCTTTTGGTGTAGGCCTCATGGTAAGACTGCCTCAAGCCATTTGATGTTTGAATGCATGTTGGTTGATTGTTCCAAGTCTTTGATTTGCATATATTTGTGAGGCTCTAACAAGTGTTTAGCATTAATATTTCGTTGGTGACTTATTGGCGAAATAGACATGGATAAAGCACTCCAAAAGAGTTTTCGTAGGTTTTTTTCTTATATGATTCAACTGTTGGGATGATAGAGATAGCAACATGACTTACAATCCCCAAATTCTTGCCCTTATATTGTTAGAATAGTCATATTTATGTCATAATATATGAAAAACTCCCAACTTTTATTTTTTGAATAGTGCATCTACTAAATTACCATTTTATTAAATTAATTGTGAATTAATTTGGAGTGTACAATCTTGGTGATTTTAATGTTATCAATATGTTTTAGTGTAGTGATTAATATTGAGATAGACTGAATTCTATTTCACTCACCGAGGTTGAAGGTGCGGGATGCACACTCAGAATGATTAATATTAGTTTGAGATACGGGGGTCCGGGGACAGAGCCATTTGGCGGGGTCTAGGGGCAGAGCTTCTAGCTCGGGGCAACGCCCCAAAACATAAATGAATTTTTATATCAGGTATGACTCCAACCATGCATATTCCCACAAAAACTCACTTGATGAAATCTTGATAATGTAGATGCTGGTTATATCCGATACCTACCTGTTTTGGCGCCAAATTTGAATGCAACCACCAATAACTATATTTTCCTCTTGTATAAGAACATGTTTTTTGTTCTACAAAAAGGGTTACAAACATATATTCGAAATATGTTCATTAATGTTTTCTCTATCTCTCAAGAACACGTCAAGCAAGGTACCATATGTTTAACAATCCGAATTAGGCTTGTAATTCGGATTGGTTCATTTTTGGATTATCCCACTTCTGAATTTGTGTACCCCAAGCAAAAGGGGTGAATTATATATTTCGGAAAGTGTTTGAAAACACGATCCTTGAATCTATCTAAGTTTGTATTTATTGTTATTTCTAATTCCTTAAAATTTAACATTTGAAATCTGTAATTTCTGTAAAGGAATAACAATTATAGAATCTGTCAGGGACATGAGTTCCAAGTTTGGAATACTTGGTAAGTTTGAATGAAATGAATTTCATCGTTGGCAGAAAAACATGCACTTTTCTTACTACTTTGAAGATTATACATGTTTTGAGTACTCTTGCACCAGAAGCCTAAGAGAATGAAACGCTAGAACACACCAGAAAACACTACAAATGGGAAAATGATGATTGCATCTGTCGTGGGCACATTCTGAATGGTATGAATGACTCTCTCTTTGATATCTATCAAAATCATGAATATGCAAAGGACATGTGGGATACACTTGAATCCAAATACATGGTTGAGGATGCTACAAGTAAGAAGTTCATTGTTAGTAATTTCAATATCTACAAAATGGTAGATTCAAGGCCTGTCACGGAACAATACAATGAACTCAAGGATTTCAGGACAATTTGAACAACATAAGATGCAAATGGATGAATCCATTTCTGTTTCAAGTGTTATTGACAAATTGCCCCCATCATGGAAAGACTTTAAGCACACTTTGAAACACCAAAAGGAAGAGTTGTCTCTGGTACAATTTGGCAGTCGCTTGAGAATTGAGGAGGGTATTCAAGCTCAAGAAAATGGAAATGGAAGAGAAAAGGAAGTTCGTGGATCTTCAATGAACATGATAGAAAATGAAAAACATCAGAAAAACAACAAAGGAAAAAGGAAAAAGAAAGATGACCTTCACAAAGGTTCAAACAAGAAAGAAAAACTTGTGTGTTGGAATTGCAACAAACCTAGTCACATGAAATGAGATTGTCGCTTGAAGAACAAAAATAATGCAAGTACTTCTGGACAAGGATCTAATGATCAAGGTCCAAAACTATAAGGTCAAAATTTTATTTTCGAAGTTACTACTATTGTTGTTATCTATCATGTACTATTTATTCTTGAATCATTATATGTTAAAGATGATGATCATGCATGGTGTATAGACTCGGGGGCGACGAGTCATGTGTGTAAAGTTCGCCCTTGGTTCAAGGATTATGAAGTAGTTAATGATGGACTGGTGTTGTACATGGGGGACCATAATAAAGCACCTATTGTGGTTTGTAGTTGTGTGTGTTTATGTTTTAGTTCTGAAAAAAAGTCTCATCTTAGGAATGTTATTCATGTTCCTAAGATTAGAAAGAACTTGGTTTCTAGTGGTGTAATTAATAGATGTGGATATAAACAAGTCTATGAATATGATAAGTTTGTATTAACTAAATGTGTTACATTTATTGGGTTTGGTTATTATTGTAATGGAATGTTTAGGTTGAATGTAAACAATAAAGTTGCAAATTCCATATACATGGCTTGTTCTAGTATTGATTCTTCTTATTTATGGCATGCTTGTTTAGGACATGTATATTATAAAAGAATGCATAAAATGTCTAAAATTGGATTAATACCATCTTTTGATGTTAACATAGAAAAATGTAAAACATGCATGTTAACTAAGATAACTAGACAGCCTTTTCCTAATGTTAAAAGGAATTTTGTTATGCTTGAATTAATCAATAGTGATCTATGTGATTTGCATTCAATTCCACCCTTAAGAAATAAGAAATACATAGTTGCTTTTATAGATTATTATTCTCATTTTTTCTATGTATATTTTTAACATTCCAAGGACAAAGCTCTTGATAAATTCAAAATTTATAAAAATGAAGTTGAATTGCAACAAAATGATTTAATCAAAAGATTTCGCACAAATCAAGGTGGAGAGTATTATGATCCTAGTTATTTCCAATCTGTTGAAATTATACATGAAATAACTACTCCATATACTCCTCAACAAAATGAGATTTCTAAAAGGAAAAATAAATTTCTAAAGGAAATGGTGAACTCTATGTTGTCTTACTCAGGTTTGAGTGATGGTTTCTAGGGAGAAGCTGTAACGCCCGCGATTCTCGCTTGACATTAATAAGATGATATAATAGTTAGGGTTAATAGTTGTAACTTATTTGATATAATAAAGGGAAATTATTTGAGTATTATGTGATTATGTGTAGTATACGTGCTTACAACTCAATAAAATAAGAATAAAATACACGTCTAAAATAGAATAATAATTAGGCCAAATACCCTTGACGAAAGTTGAAGTAGTCATGATAAGGATTTCGGAGACATAAGGAACGCTCAAATCAGACTTATAACAAAGAAGTTATGGTCTATCAAAGTTTCATGATTCGACCTGATTCAGCAACACACATCATAAAAAGTAAATTTTTGTTAGGTTACTTTTTATCCTTAGTGACCTAAATAAAAGTCGTAGTAGTTGTTAAACCAAGAGCGCACATATAGAGAACTTCCAAATCTGACTTCAATAAAGGATGTTATGATTTTTCTAACATTCAGCATAGCAGTAGACAACTCAAATATTGAATTTTAGATTGGTCGATTGTTAGCCGAAATAATCTAAATGAGAGTTAATGATCTCATTAATAGGAACCCAACGATAAAAACAAAGTCGAAAACGGACTTCGGATGATAAAGTTACACATTTTATACGGACTTTAGCAGTCTAAGCCCGTGTGAAATAAATAAATTCAAAATCAGTCGACGAAGTCTAAATGAAAGCTATAGATCCAGTCGATAGCTACGCGTGGATATAAAGAATGTTAAAAACGGAGTTCATATGAAGACGTTATGAAATTTTGAAGTTTGAATTTCGTTGCAGACGTCTACCCCCGTGCGCAGCCTACTAGAAGCCATCGCGTAGCACCAACCAGATTTTGACATGTAGCACCACACCCGGGCAAGCACATTGACCCTATACATAGCACGCAAGGCCTTTTCACGGCGCGCATGCCCATATCCTATCCTATAAATAGACATCATAATCTCATTCCTTTCCCACAACATTCTCTCTCTCTCTCTCTCTCTCTCTCTCTCTCTCTCTCTCTTTCTCGATTACTCTCAATTTGATTTGAATTTTTCCTTAGTAGTTAGGATATTTTAGCAAGTCAGAAGTCCCTAAGTCCCTAGGAGCCCAGTATCTAGTAGCTGTCAACCCAAAGTTCCACCATTGTAATTTTCAGATTTTTGTCCAAGGAATCTATTTGAGTTAAATTACACTCTATTTTATTTTAGTGTAACTTACGTTTAAATTTCATAATTGTTGTTATGAATTTATAAATAAGATTCTTCAGTAGTTCCAATATCGGATTACTGATTGATCTACTTACGGGGATGATGTCTAGGTTGGATTTAGTAAGGTGTTTAAAGTGAGATTTCCAAACAGTATATTATATATACCAAACGGACCGTACCTTTGATATGATCCTACCTGGTTATCCTTTATCAGTTATAGATCAGTAGAATTTGGAATTAATGATGGATCTAGGCTATCTTTTTTCATAAGGAATATTTGCCTAAGACTTAGTGTTAAATGAACCTAGGTCATGTCAAAGGAAAAGCCAAATGCTAAAGTGAAGCGTTGTCCGAATTTCGAATCATCACTTTAGCAAGTGAGTACATAGTTACTTTCATCTTACACATAGATATAAAGTATTTAAGATAATTACATGCTATATGTTCCTATTATCCATGTTCCTGATATCTATGCTAAATGAATGATATTTATACATGTTTTACTTGATTTAAATTGTATACATATTTTTATACCTATAAATATATTGGGTAAAAATAGGTATATGTAAGATGATATAGTGGATGGGAGATGAAAAATGATATAGATGATGAGAGGCCTTGAATTTAAAGATAATCCAGTCGTCTAGCGGAGTATAAATGACGACCACAGACTATTCTAGACAACCTAGTGGAACGCTAGTAGGCTCGCAACCTGTAGGTGTTTGAACTAAGTGTTCACCAGGTATACTCTATCCCCCCATGGTTGCCTTATTGGCATATATTGCTAAGGAATCCCCTAATCATTATTGTCTATCCCGAATATGATTCCTTAGGATAGATACGCTGAATTAGATGCTTAGAGATAGAAAGTGAGGATAACGAGAATGTGTAATCGGTTTGAATGTTTTGATGAAATTTATAACTAAAATAATACAGTTATTGTGAGTTGAAAACCTATGTGCTCAACAGGATCCTAAGCCTAAATCATTTAGTTTCTTGTATTATAGGTAGTGGCACGAGAGCACAAGTGTGATGCTATGATGAGCGATCTATGGATGCTTATAGACCAGTAGTTTAGATAAACTAGTGTAAGGTATGTATTATTTTGTTTATGCTTATGTATTATATTAACGATGACATCCCAACATTTTCAATATAAATAAAATACATCTCTTCGGAAAATTCTTTGATGATATCATTATCATATTTTTGGGAACAAATTCCGCAACATTATTGTTTAAAAAGGATACCCTGATTTTAAATAAGCATAAATATATAGATCTTTTCTGAAAATTCTTTGATAATACCATTATCATATTTTTGGGAACAAATTCCGCAACATTATTCTTTAAAAAGGATACCCTGATTTTAAATAAGCA